ATGCATGTTCAGTGCTTTCACGTAACTGACGTGCACCACCTGGATGCATGTTTGGTGCTTTCACATAACTGACGTGCACCACCCGGATGCATGTTCAGTACTTTCACATAACTGACATGCACCACCCGGATACATGTTCAGTACTTTCACGTAACTGACATGCACCACCCAGATGTTTGTTCAGTGCTTTCACGTAACTGACGTGCACCAGCTAGATGTATAATCACTGCTGTTTATTCTTGGATTAGTTCCTTTTCAAAACTGCCATGTGACAATGGTTGTAAGTGACAGTTGTAAAGTGTATTTTTTGTCAGTGATCTTAACCTATAATTTTCTAAGCACGCTGCTGTGGTCATTAAATATATGACATAACCAGTACATAGAAATTATACTGGCCCTGGAGTACTGAGAACCAGGGCAACAGTTTATCTTTTGTTTATGGTTGCTGAGAATGGGGAACACTGACCAGAGCCATTGTACAGTGTGTGATTATGACTAGGTAAGTGAACCTGTTTGACTAGTAGTTTCTGAATAGGACCTGTAACTTAAGGTACATTAGGGAGTCTTGTGTAACTATCAATTTTCATTCGAAAATATATTTTATAATGTGAGATGTTGTAATGGAAACAGTAATTCACTCACTGCGTGGATGTAGGTGATAGGTGGAATATTTGATTGTATTCATAACCTGTTTTTTTTTGTTTTTTTTTCCCAAGTTTCATAATATTATATAAACAGTAGATGGTATTGTATAGCAGAATTTTTAAGCAGCTTTTTTGAGATTAAATTGGGTTTACTGTCATATGATAATGCCACCAGGGGTTTAGTGTCCAAAATCATGTTATTTATAAAACCCTCACACTTTCTCAGTTTGAAACTCTAAGAATGTAGATTTTAATTTTTGTTTGAACACTCGGTTAGTTATAAATAGTTTGTAAAATACAAAAAACTTATGCAGCTCAGTTTATCAAAATTAGTTTGTAGTTATAAAGGAGATTCATTGAAAAGAAAAAGAAACCCAATAACGGATATTTCTCGGTACGTCTCATTCTACGTGAAAAATCTGGTGTTCTATATTTATATCAATTCCATCCATCTTGGGTAAAGAAGGTAGAGAAAAATCAGAAAATGGTAAACTATCACACATCTTTTAAGTTACATCAGACATAAATGAAACCTATTCATATTGTTCCACAGCTATACTAAGATCATTAATATATTCATATTTCCAGTTAGTCTAATAAAAAGATAATGTGCATTTACCACGTTATGAACTTTAGCAAAACAGGACAGTACAGCACTTAACATTAACTGCTCCAGCGTGGTTAAAGTAATTGGATCCATTATTGAGCATTAAATTTTAGCAGTTTTCAACCACAAAGAAAGTGTTAAACATAAAACAGGTTTAAAGTGTGTTTGTGTGATCGATCGTCAGCACCTCGTGGAACCTACTGCCACATCATGCCTGATTTTGTACATTCACCGTTTTGTGTATTTTTACCGAGTTGTGATTAATTCATGTATCACAAAATATGAACAGTATTTAGTTCATGTGTCGAGGTTGTAATGTACTTGAAAGAATTCAAAATTTTTACCATTTCTCACAATACTACCATAAAGAGTTGTACAGTTTTCAAGAAATATCTTCATTTCTGGTTGCAGAGCATTTTAACGTATATTCTTGTAAGCTGACCTTAGGATTATGTTAAAACATAAGAGTAGCCTGATGTAGATTAAACCATAATGCTTTGGAAGTTTTTTTTAATCAGTGCAATGTTGTAAATCATGGAAGAACGTTAAATGTGGTCATTTTTAATTTGTTACATGCTCTACTTAAATTAAATTGTAGGAGAAACCTAAAAGCAGTTGACTGTAAATATATTTCTAAAGTCTTGTGACAGAGGAACATGTAATGTAGGATTAAAAATGTGATAAATCACAATGGAAGGAACACCATTATTCAGGGATGTACAAGTTAAAAATACTCTATACTCCTCCAAGATTAAAGTTCCGGCTTAGAAACTGCTATTAAATAAGCAAGATTTATTGTAATTTGTTTTTGTATACTTTTTATAAATGTAGTGATTTCAATGAAAGAGTCTAATTGGTATAACCTTTCGGTACTTGTTTCAAGGTGAAGTGATTACCGACACTTTAACATCCACACTTGGTGTTAATAATTAAACAAAGTATCGTGAAAATCATTGGATGATAAGTATGTATTTTGAATTGTTTTTACCTTGTGCTATTTATTTTTGTTAATTGTAGAATGAAATGATACATTTTGTTAGTGTAGCAGTAGGGGTGAGGTTAAATGGTTTATTTCAATCAGTTGATGAAAACTGTAAATCAGCTTTTAATAATAAATGAACCAAGTTTTCAATAAGTACGTACCCGTTTCAGATGTCCTTATTATCCAGGTAACACATGTACCAGCCTCTTAATGTTTTTACTTCTGCGGTATTACTGGTTATTTTGTAGTAAACTTACAGAAAATAAATATTCATAAATAATTCATTTGGTATGTATCAGTATCTGGTACATACACACTCCTTAAACAAATAAAAAAATTTAAGAAATACTATGTGGATCAATGAAGATGTGTTTTTACTGAAAAGTTCTCAGATTAACCCAGATCATACCATTATTATGAGTTACAACTTCTGGGTTTTATGGCAACCAGCAGATGTGGTACTCAGTTTCAGTCACTGGGTTATTTTGTTGATGTAGTCCACAGTGAATGTCCTTCGTTTCTTTTCTTAAAGTTGCATTATTTTGACTAGGGTGACTGTCAGCTGTTGCTGTGTGTTGTTATCACAAGACTCCAACACTGTGAAGTTGAAATGGTTTTGGACTAGAGTATGACTGTCAGCTGTTGCTGTGTGTTGTTATCACAAGACTCCAACACTGTGAAGTTGAAATGGTTTTGGACTAGAGTATGACTGTCAGCTGTTGCTGTGTGTTGTTATCACAAGACTCCAACAATGTGAAGTTGAAATGGTTTTGGACTAGAGTATGACTGTCAGCTGTTGCTGTGTATCGTTATCACAAGACTCCAACAAT